GCAGATGCCAACGCATGGTAGACCAAGTCAAAGTGCAAATTCTAACCCAACGCACAGAATCACCTTGTGAAATGGCAAATGGTAAACATAGTTAAAAGAACTTGAAGAGCCAATGTTACCCCTTACAGAGATGAGGCTGGTCAAAGTGCAAATGCTTGAAATCATAGCCACAAAAAAAGGGTAAGTACTGACAAATCTATTTCAACAGAGACGACAACAATAGTTATTGTACAAGTTCATTTTAATGCTACAATTGCATTTGCCAGAAAAAGTATTAGCACATAGTAATTTATTTAACTTATTAGTAAATTATTAGTTTGGGTGAAAGTTTTTGCAAAAACGTAAGGTAGTAGTTTCAAATTAGTAGTATCTCAATATAAGAGAATCAAGCAACAGGTTTATTGAAATAATATTGAAAGAAAAAACAATTCATTTTTTTGTTTATAACAAATCATATAACAAATGTACTCAATGAAAGAAACTGATTTTAAAAAGGCCAAGGATTAACAAACGTTTGTCACTTTAAACACGAACACTGTAGATATCTGGAGTAAAACACAGCGTATTACAGTGAAGGTATAAAAACAATGGCGTAAATCGAAGTACAAGCGCCAGATGACTAGTTTGAAAGATAATTGATTATGCTCAGATTGTATCTTCCATAAATTGTACTACTACTTAGTAACTCTCAAGTTTCAATATACTGGTAGAAAAATCCTGTATGCATTATATAGGATTTGATTTCCCCGTAGAAAACAGAACGCCCCCCCCCCCCTATCATGAATGACCAATTCACAAAATATAATATCAATTATTCTAAAATACAATGTAATCAAGGAATTAGTCATTTTAAAACACACTTAAAATTCATACAAATTACTGGCTTTGAAATATTTTTTTTTTTCATTACTGAGAATTTCGTCTTCATTTATTGTAAATTTATTAATATATTATACCCATTACTCAGAGGGGAAAAAAGACTTTCCAAGGTTGCAGTATAAGGGCACTATAGCACCAAATGAGGGCACTGTTTACATGCCATGCATACTTCTTTATATTCCCAATTCTACAATTAGAAGCCAACAAATAATGATATTGTATTAACACTGTACAGATCCCACTTCTACCCATTTTTTCCATCATTTGTTTTTTCTGAGAGAGACTTAAAACTCTTCAACAGATATTTCAATTTGTTTTCTTTCTAGAATAATACAGCTTAGAGCCAAGGATACCAATAATAACTAAAATCATAGACCTGAGAAAACAGGGACATGCAACTTGTGTCCGAGACGACAGAAAATCCAGCTGGCAACACGAGTTATACCCGGTAATCTCCAATACAGTTGATCCCATCAATTCAGTTTTAGTTGTTACCTTTTAATGCTTGTTTTTATACGTTTGGTAAGTGATGCTGTAGTGGACTACTAGGCCTCATCGGTTCTAACTACAATGACAAATCCACTTGTTATAATAGTAAATTTTTGACAGGCCATTGTTTAATATCAGGCAGTTTTGTTTCCTTGTAGATAAAACTGTCCCATTTGCAATTTTTAGTTTCACTGCGATCAATAAAACGGACTGCGCTATTCAGTTTTATATTCCGATTATATTATAACCACAGAGTTGTCTCATTTTCTGCAGCAATACCCTGACAGACTTGTCATGCATATGGACCAGGAGAAGGTGTATTAATGCTGTTGACATAGCTCTGTTTGTCAGTTAAACTAAGGTATGAATTTGGTAGTGGATCATAACTAAGGTTACATGAAAGGAATACCAACAGTTGCATGTCCGTGTTTTCCAAAGTCTATACTAAAATATATGCACTCCGTAGTCTTTTATTTTATGATTAAATATGGCTAGCAGAAACATGCATCATTTAGCAAAGTGATTAAACATATATATACAAAACACACACTGCTCATAACAAGGGACTCTACAAATAACTATTCTGTTACACATCGCAAGTTCATTTTCAGTGTACCACATGTTAATTTTAAACTAATCAGAATTGATTCTTTTATTAAGTTTTTTCGCCGCCCATAATTTGGTGTCACTTTTTGCACATTTGCTTGGAAATTCATATAAATTTATTAATATAATCATCCATTGCCAAATTTTTGACAACATTTTTTTTAGAAATTGACAAAAGTTGACTAGTTTTGTGAGACAACCATCTTGTCTTTGCTCACAGACTTTGCTAAATCTGACAAACATTTGAATGAAATTATTATGAAGAACAAACAAGAGCATACTGATTTCAAAAAAATGCATTTTTTTGTTATTTTCTTGCAAATCTGAATGCTAATGCAGCAAGCACAGCAATTACTAAACTACATGCACCAATCACTTTCAAGTGTGGCATCCCTGAAGGTTGCTTTGACCTAGTGTCTCCATCTTTCTTAGAATCAATATACGAATAAGATTCTGGACAAGCTGCTCCTTGTAGGTCATCTGACTGCGAAGTTTCTTGATATCCACCAACGGTCGTTCGCTCTTCCATCCCCGTATTTTCATCAAGGCTGCTGTCAGCTGGCTTGTCAATGTTTTCAATTTTTTCTTCTTCTGTAGTGACATTCAAGTCTGAACTCTGGATGCATGGCCTGGAACAGTTATTATCGACCCAGGATACTTCCGCCAGATTATTTTCTGTGTTGAAGTTTTTCTCATCCTCTACTACTACATTGTTCTCATTGGACACATTAAGTTTTTGGTCTGGTGCTGTTTCTCTTACTTCATTGTTCTCGTCTGACCCTCTAAGCAAAAACCTTGAATTCCTACCATCATTGTATTCATCGTTTTCCAGCTGCGTCACTGTAATATTAGCAGGAACTATTTTAACATCACTAGGGCCACCAGCTTCTGCATGGCTTTTGTTTGACTCGCTGTCACCAGCCCCACTTTCCTTTAATTGTTCAGTTTCTTCCATTGGAGGTAGTTCAGAAGATATCACTTCGTTGGTGTCCTCCACTCCCACTTTATCGGAAAAAGCGTTGGCAGCCTCACTGCTGTCACCAGCACCAGTATCTTGTAAAGGAGATGAGTCCTCTAATTGCAAGGATGGTTTAGTTGCTTCAATTGGTGGTGTTCCAAAAGATATCAAATCTTTACTTTCCTCTTTATCCACTGCCTCTTGTACAGCATTGGCAACCTCACTAGAACTGGCATCTTGTAATGGTGAAGCACCAGCCGACTGCGGAGATAATTTAGTTTCTTCCATCAGTGTCAGCTCAGAAGATGCTGATGCTTCAGTTTCCTCCTGTCTCACATTTTCTGAGATACTGTTTGCACCATCACTCATACCACTGACCAAACTGTCTGGCAAAGGTGAAACAGCTTCTGAAGGTTTATTCCCCAGCACATCATCCTGGTTGACCTGTGGTGTGGTCACTGTTTCTTCCACTGATACCTGCTCAGAGAGTGATGGTACTGTGTCTGCTGGTACCTGTGGCTCTGTTGAAATCTCCTTTTCTGAATGACTATTAGTTGGTTCTGGTATAGTCGCAGCCGGTTTAACATCTGGTACATTTATAGGTATTACTGGTACAACTTCTGCTTTACTTGCAGTGTTTGGAGTCAGTAACTCAGGATCTGGTAACTCCTGTAAGTAAAACAACAATTAAGTACTGTCATTGTACATGTACAAATGTATATCCCCAGTGGCATTTATGCTAGTGGTGATAGTTTTCGAAATAAGAGCTTTTGCGATGGTATACAAAACTGGAGTTCAAAGATTATTGAATTACCAGTCACTTTGCAATGGGTGTCTTTCATGACAAGTGACTTATAGATGTTTACAATTGGATTTCTGTTATCCCTTGGAAAAAAAGTGCTCAAAACCTAAGGCCTATTTTACTAGTATTTAAACAAATATCACTCAGAAATAATTTTGTTGACTTGACGAGTGTAATATGTACATTATAGTATGGTTAGTTAATAGTGCAGATATACTGAATCATGTATTTGATATTTTAATTCTGTGTCCGGTACTAGTAGTAAAACAATTTATTACAAAGTTTTTGTTTTTTTTAAATTAAATTAAATTTCACCACCAGCCAGTGTTGGGCAAGTCACATTGAACTGAATAATTAATTTACCTGTACAGGTACACTGATGTCCACACTATTCACTCGAACTTCTCCAGATACATCTAATGTATCAATTTTTTTCAACGGCAGAATGCGGTGTTTGTAATCACAAAACTGAAGCCCATTAACATCAACCTAAAATATTAAATGAAAAAATGAATTCTGGTAACATAACATGATTGGTTTCCAAGCAAAATGTATGGTTGCCAAGCAACATAAATAATCACAAGCAGCCTCTTGGCTGAGATAGCCCCGCTGTTCGCAATGCACATTTCAATTAAAAGATATCATTAGAAAATGAACAAATCAGAGAGGGGTCCACCTGTAATACCTTTATGTATAATATCAAATCAACCAGACTTGTAGTTTTTAACAAGAAGTCAAAAATATCACTTTTTACCAAAATTTACATTCACCATTCATCATTATATTCATCAAAATTAGAGAATTGAAGATATCATGAAATGAACAAATTTAAGTGAAGTCTACCCAAGGTACATATACACCAAGTATCAAAGCAATCAGGATTGTAGTTTTCAAGAAAAAGTCAAAAAGGTAAGAAGTTGACACATACGATGACAGACAATCACTCATATTCTAAGCTCCGCTCAAGAAAGTCAATAACTTTGTTCATGTAATGAGGCTCTCTCGTTCGTAAGTGTGCAACAATAATAAAAATCCGAGTAAAGTATTCATACTAGTTTATGGTAAATAAACAATTATGAAGATGGGCTAGGTTTACTTTTCCATTAATACCTGAAATACCGTTGGATTGTTCACCCACCAACAGGGAACGTGAGCTGGGTTTAGACCGTCGTGAGACAGGTTAGTTTTACCCTACTGATGAAACTGAATACATTTCCTATTTATTGCATACCTTGTACATATCTTTTTCCACTTTAATAACCAATTCAAATTCTGTGCCAGCAAGGAACGGTTGGAATTTAATCTCACGTTCCTCCTTCTGCCACTCCTCATTCACTAGGGTATTTCTAACAATCGTGCCTTCCGTCACTCGAACACTTATGTGAATGGCTATATCCGCACGTGGTTCGGTACTGGTACCAACTTGGAGATTGACGCTAAATCTAAATATTCAAGTGAATGGATAATACAAAGATGAAATGATAATATACAAAAAATGATTAATTACAGATCGAACGATACACCAACACTATGAACGGCCATCATTTCTTCCATTGTCGTCACAGAGGACCTGACTAAAAAGGTGTACTGGAAGTAACAACAACTTTGTTAGATTATATTTAATGGATTACATGCCATTTAGGACACTGTCATATAAATAATGAAAGTGAGAAAATGGAAAATGGAAAAATCATTATGGCAACAATATGGGATATGTAAAATGACTAATTTTCACTGGTTTAAATTTCACTGATTTAGCGTTTCAGGCATATTTAGTGGGTTTAAAATTCACTGTTTTATCATTTGGATAATGTGATCTATGCTCAATTTTACATTATTCACTGGGTTTTAATTTAGCGCATTTTTCAGTCAGCGAAAAAAGCCAAATTAAAACCCAGTGAATAATTAACCCCTTTACAGTACACTGAGTTTCATAATGGCACAGATGTTTTTATTAAAGTATTTATCGCGGAAGACCCTTGCACTTTAATCAAATTCATAGAAGATGCTTTAATAGGCTATAGAAGACATTCGGTGATGCCAATTACCCAAAAGTCTTTGCAGGTTTCCTTCAATCATTGGCAAATTTTAATACTGTCATTCCTGTGAAAGATATTCTATAAGAAAGGGATGCATCTGCAAAGTTAACATGATTGGTCGTTTTCAACCTTCATTTGAAATTTTTGAATATTTTATTCAAAAAACATTCTTGCCTTTATGAAATAGAGTGTATAATGATGTGAAATGTATCATTTAATTTATGCATAATATACCACAATGTTTGACTTATGCAGAGAACGAGTAATTGTCACAAAAAATGTTTTATGTTCAATGAGAAGAAGCACTTTGTACTGTGTTGATTTACTGTTAGACAATCTTGACAAAGTCACGCACCTTTGAACATTAACAGGGAGAGCACCACATATAGTTATCATTTTACCAGGTACTAGACCACCATCTATGTGTTGAGGAAAATCAATCTATAAAATATAATGATACATTTGTGGATGAACCTCAGACAAACTTAGTAGACAGTGTGTGAATTAATCATTGTTCATTTTAGCATTCATTGAGCATAGCACAAAAATAATCTAAAATTCATATACTGTAAATTACTTTTTAGTTTCGCTTGGAATTAATTTTCACTATTTTCTGAAGGAATGGTTCAGAGAAAATAAATTCCAGCAAATACCTTTTTTCCTATATTTTATATTCAACTTTTCAAAAACCAGTGAAAATTAATTCCATACAAAACACCCGAAAAGTCTTTTCAGCGAAAATTAATTCCAGCTAAAATAAAGTATTTTACAGTAAACCAATAAACTAACTTTTTTTGTGGAATGGGATGAAATACCCAAGGACCCAAATTTGTTATTCTCAGCACAATGAGCAATTATAATTTGAACAAGAAATATGAAAAAACAAACAAACTGTACCTCAATTTTCTTGTCACTTCCAGTAGGTTCAGGTTGCCGAAAACCAACAGTCTTGTCAATATTATCCAGTATATCCTGCCTTCCTAGTTCTTGGACTTTAGAAGTCAGATCACCCAGGGTAACATTTTTGGTACTCAGGTCATGATACATGTCCTCTACTGGATTTTTGGATTGTCCGAACTTACCAACGTCTTCAGCTGTATATTCTGCAAGTTAAGTGAAGAAAATGGTTTGTGGTTTCAGTAGTCATTTTTGGAGAACACTTAAATTAGCAATATTAATACTAGGTTTCATGATGACTATATAACCAATTCAATTCAGCTCTCATTCATGTCTAGACACATTGAATACTGAAAACCTCCATGGATTATCAGTATAACCTTTTCAGCACCAGACTTTCATGCCCAAAATTTTCTGCACTTTTTTTCTTATTTTCTTCAATATTTCTGGAAATGAAGCTTACCCGGTAATTTTAAAGCCAAAACACAAACCGTCAGTTTTTACTCACAAAATTTGGCTTCATTTATCCCAGTGTCTGACAGAAATAAATAGGACTATTTTGTGAATTTGTGATAAAAAGAGGGAACTGGTGGTGAAAAGGATAAAAAGCTCCAGCAGGTGATTGTGTTAAACAGAACACAAGGAATGATTGCAAACATTTTTAAAAGAGTAATTTATAATCATAATCATCAATTATGACTGCTGCCCCTTACAAACTTTTCCTGACCAAGCTATTATATTAGTGAATAGACAAAATAAGATAACAAGCAGCCTCTCGGCTGAGATAGCACTGCTGTTGGCAATGCACATTTCAAATAAAAAACTGATGACATCATTAGAAAATGAACAAATCTTAGAGAAGTCTATCTGAGGTACTTATATGTATAGTATCAAAGCAATCAGACTTTTCACCAAATATTCATCAAGAGTAGAGAAAAAAAGATATCATCACAAAATGAACAAATTTAAAAGAGGTCTGCCCAAGGCACATATACACCAAGCATCAAAGCAACAAGAATTGTAGTTTTCAAAAAGAAGTCGCAAAAGTAAAAAGTTGACACAAACAACAGACAATGATAAGCTACGCTTGACAAAGTCGACAGCGGAGCTAAGAAGTAAAATTGAAAGCTGCTAGGACAGATTAAATACTGTATACTTTATAAAGAAAATGATAGTAGATAATTATTAGTCCTTGGTAAATTCAAAATATCCATGACATATATGTTATTTAAGACAAGTACTTGTTCTCAACGATAGATCCTATCAAGGTGTTCAACAAGAAAATGATGTTTTTTGGCAACAATAGAATTCAAAACTAGTTTATGAATGAAAGTTTGAAGTAAATCGACCCACACATGCCAGAGATCTTGTACTGAACATGTAAAAATACCTGAATGTAGTGTATTTTTACAACAAAAATGGCTTCCAGCAGGACATCTCAGAGAAGTAGTTTTTAAAATGATGTTCATCAGTAAACCAGTATGTAAGATCCTGATACAAAGCCCTTCTGTGACAAATGATTCTTAAAACATTTACAGACTTCCATTTTAGACAAAATAACACAATCCACGATATTATACCCCGGTATATGTGAATAATACAAACTCTCAACTGAATCATGCCGTATATTAATGAAGAAGCAAAATGGACAAGAAATCAATCTTGAAAAAAATGCAACATGCATTTGTAACCCAATATATATATCTCAATAAAAAATTTGAATAAATCTCTGAGAAAAAGCTCCAGGCATTATAATAATTTCAGGATTTTGGACGAAATGGTTGTCAATTTGACAAATTTGATCAAGTCATAAAATCAATGGTATTAACTATGAAAAAAGTACTTGTGTGCAACATTTTTACTGAATTAGGCGATATACTGGGTATTAATGACGAATTGGCAGGCATAGACATGATTAAAAACAAAATATGTCCAAAAAAATTTGTGTTAAGTTTGAATGTAATCACAGTCATATTAATGAAATAGCTTCAAACACACACCTACACCCAAGAATAATAATCAAACATCTCTCACTAAGACAACGATACAAGTATGACAGAAAAGTCTCATTGTCATACAAAGTATATGTATGTTTTCGAACATTCTAAATTTGATCAACGTGAAATTTCGTCAGAGGCTGGAAATCTCTATTACACACTTTGATATAAAATGACTACAAAATTAATTTGAATTGTGAAAAAAATATTGAAAAAAAATATAATTGAATTATACTTAATATGAATTTAATAATTTTTATAATTCACTCTGATCAGCTCACCAAAACAGGCTGCAAGACCTTTCCAATCTTTATGAAGTGGCGAATGAACATTCAGAGGATGCAATGCTTTAAAAATATCGGCTCTAACACTACGAAGTGGTGTGTCACCATTGCAAGGAGTCGCCATGACTACTGCAGCTTTTTCTGTACCTGTTGCCATGGGAACTTGCTTTTGTTTATCCACTGGTTGATGCAGATAAGGCACCTCAACTGCCGATTGTTTCGGAGGGCTCTGGGACGGTTGATGAGGGAATGCTAGTGGTTCAGACGGTGGTGGAAACTGCTGAGGGGGTAATGGCTTGTATTGTGGAGCGGGTTGATACTCAACAGTTTGTACATGTACCAGTTGACTTGATGGGAGTGGCTGACTGTTTGATGTATGATGTTGGTACTGTGGACTATATCCTGGATGATTGGTTGTAGGTATATGTGTAAATTCCGATTGTGGTAAGTTTCCTGCTTGCGAGTGGGATGAATTGGGTTGCTGTGGGTACGGTTGCTGGTTCACTGGTTGCTGTGGTGGGTATACACCTGCTGCTTGCTGTGGATATTGGTAGGCTGGTGGTTGTCGAGTATCTACCTGTGGTGGTGGTGGTGGGGGTGCTGGACTTTGAAAAGGTGGAGCGGGCCAGTCGTTTCTTTGACTAGTCGCAATGTTTGAATAGGGTGCACTAGCAGAAGGTTGATTGTCTACAGCCTGTGATGGAGGTGGTGGAGGTGATGGCGATGGTGGCCGCGGACACACTGCAATACAATCAGAAAAACAATTTTTCAGTTTTGGAAAATGTTAATGCTATGTAGTTAAAACTACAATGTAGTTACCCCACTGAATGGTGACATTCTAACGGTGGTGATACCAGTACTTCTACATTATGATAAAATAAAAGCTCAAAAAAAAAATGCCCATAGAAGAAGTACAAGTTATCTTGAAAAAATAAACAATACCAAGCGCCGCAAAGCAAAGCCTTTGTGTGAATACAGAATATACACAATCATTGTTGTTTTATAAATACGTATCCAGGAAGTGTAAATTAACAACAGTCAGAGAAAGAGCGATGACATGAGAGGTTAGGATCATCAACCACAAGACGGTCTATACCAATATATAGTAAGGCCAGACTTTTTTTATTCTTTGTTTCTTAAGTTTTTATAAGGCAATTTTTTTGTGGAGGGCGGGAAAAAGATAAAATTATTTTTTTTTTTTTCAATTTGATTTGTGTGATTCTCAAAGAATTGTATGTGAGATCATTGATCAGAGAGAAGAAATGAAATTAAAATTTTATTCCATGTATAACCTTGTTTCTCATCTGTGCGATACTTTGGTACTTTCATCATGATACTCCCACGAAAATGCAACTTGGATTTGTTATGCGGCGAGCGGTAAAAAAAAATAAAATAATATTTTTTAGCATTTTTTTGCCCTTACAAGTCAGCGGCGCGAGAAATTACGCTGAAATAAAATTTTATTTTCATTTCATTTCATTTTCGGCTCCTGTTCATTCGGCGGGTTCGAGAAACAAGGGATAATAAAAGTCTGGCCTAAGTTTAATCAAAATCTTTTTTGAATTTGTTGAAATTTTGCTTACACAGGCTGAAATGAGACAACATACAGATTACCTACTTTAATATGCACTGCCATGTGCAAAAGTCGACTTTGAAATTCAAAAATAAAAATGCGAATTTGTTGAAGTTGTAGTAGTAGTATATACTACAAAAAATAATTTCTAGGTGAATGTTGGCGATAATTTTTTCAGCTTTGAATGTCTTTATCATTTGTTGCTCCGGTGAAGACATGACCTCATATCTGACATTTTGATTTGCAAACACAAGGTGACAGACATATTTATATTCCATGACAGACATACTTCTATTCCTAGAAAAATACATAAATTTACAAATATTTCACCCACAAGTGATTCAAGACCTCTGGGCAGTCACAAATGTATATTTTCAAATCATGAGACACATATGCTCATTACTTTTTGAAGAAATTTAAGCTGCAATTTTGTTAAACACATCCTGATAAATTGCCAAGTGGTATAAATTCAGATTGAGAGAATAAGATAATACAAAAGAATGTTTCAGAGATTAAAGGGGGAAAGAATTTTTTTCCAAATTTTATAATCCATGTAACACTGAGTCAAAATGACATTTAAAAAATGCAATTAATAACCTCGTGAATATTACAACTAATTATTTAAGATGAAATATTGTAAAATACTTTATTTTCGCTTAGAATTTATTTTTTGTTATTTTTGCTGAAGGGCATATATATCCATTTTTATCCTATTTTTTACATTCAACTCATTAAAAAATCAGTGCAAAAAAAAGTGAAAATTGATTCCAGCTAAAAATAAAGTAAAATTTTACAGTATGGTCCAAGCATGGGAAATCTAACAACATGGGCTTTACCTTGTTAATCATTACCTCTGACCAATTCATGCAGTTAATATTTTACGAACAAGAAAATCACATTTGGTTGGACGCTCAGACTAACTGTTCTATTTGAGTAATAAAATAAACTTGATTGCCATAGTTAAATGATGAAGCTCAGCCTCAGTACACATAAAGCTGAATATAAGAAATATTACAGATAACAGTATGCACTTTCAATCAATTTAAATGGTACTGTCTGAGCTCAGTTGACTATTTTTCTCAAGTGCAATACAGTTAGATTATTATTATTATTAACAATTTACCAATCATTGCCTTACCAGTGAGTAAGTCAAACCCCAAGTCTTTTCAATCTGTCACTATGGGCTGCAAATCCAAATATAAGGATCTGTCTGATCTCATACAGCTATGAGATTCATGTACTCAATGCGACTGGCAAGACACATACCAAACATTGTCTGCATACTAATTAGGTCGTTCGTCTTTGACCCCTACAAGCCACACTTCTGAGTTTCTAGTTTCAAATGAACACATGTAACAGATACGATTAAGTGCCTTGCCCATGCATGATGCTGTAATCTATTCAGTAAAATTAATTTCCACAAAAAAAATGAAATTTGACGTGGTTTGTAATTTAATAAATAAAAAAATGCTTTAATGATCACATTATATAAATTAAACATTCTTCCTAGGTTGAAAAATCAGCAAAATGAAAAATAAGTTCAAGTATAGCCAATTACAAAATGTTATATCTATATTTCTTTCAATTTTCCAGTTTTTGAATTGCAAGATAAACATTTGGCACATTTCCAGAATGCAGCTATGTCTGTGAACTTTTGACCTTTAAATGCGCAGTTTATTTAAGGCCAAAGTTAATAAACTTGATATTTGTCCATTTGCACATAGAAAGTCGTAGACAGCTGTCAAAAATACAATCACAGAGGTAGACATGAGAATAATAAAAGAGCTGTTTTTACGGATTCACAACTACAGGAAAAAGTGTCTCCACACAGCTGCAGTCACATGGTTAAAAAGGGCCTGATTTTAGAATTGAGAAGGCCTTTATTTTCAAAGCAAATACAAGGCGTATTCGAAATATGTAAGAAAAACATGTATTTTTCGAAAGGCAGTAAAGCATACTCTTAGGAGGAAGGAGGCACTTGGATTTGAGCCCTGATTACGATAGACCAGTACATGTACGTGTTGTTATGTGTTTAACCTCTAAGCGATTAAAGTAATCTATGACAACTAACTGCTAACATTACAACTTATTAGCACAATATCATTACACAATACTATGTGCAATAAACCGATTGATTTTACATTGGCGTTGTTCAAGCATTCTCTATGGCAGCACATGTGATTACTGTATGTAAATTCTTGTCATTTTTTGGAAAACTTGGCTGTTGTACAGCAATTTTTTTGTGTGTGAAATGCCTACTTAATTCACTACTTATTTTTTTCAAGAGTGACAGATATATATAGGTGAACATAAACACACATTCGCCAGTTTATTGGGTATTAATTCTGTGTTAATAACCCTTAAATTTTTTTTATTTTAGTTGGAATTAATTTTCGCTGAAAAAATCTTTTTGTGTATTTTGTGTGGAATTTATTTTCACTGATTTCTGATGAGTTAAATGTAAAATATAGAAAAAAAGGTATATTCGCTGGATTTTATTTTCACTGAATCATTCCTTCAACAAAAACTTCGAAAATTAATTCCAAACGAAAATATTTCACAGTGTGTAAAAAGTTGTTTAATACAAAAGGTGACAAAAGTTAGTAATGATGGTGAAATTGATAATATGCAAATTACCTAATTAATTAATATGCACAAACAGAACATACAACTAGTTTGAGGAAGGTGACAGCTAAAATGAAAGGGTTGATATGTAAATTATCTAATTATTATTAAAAAAAACGTAGCATCATAACGTCCACTGAAATGCACACTAAATCTTCTGGCTGGCATATTTTTAAAGCAACCTTTTACACGTATTTGGGATTTTGTGTCAAGTGAACTTTGAAACATTTTATACTTTCTAGGAAAAAAGGGATTGAGCATCATATGAAACAGGATTCAAAACTGCATTGCATGCTGGGATTTTAGGTTGTTCAAGTGATACAACTGCAAGAAAATGTAAATAATAGATATTCAAATAGTATTATATGACTGACCAATCAACACTTTTTATAAGTCTAGCGCCCTCTAACATTTCATGTTTCAGAATGAGGCCACTGGGTAAAGAAACTCCACAGAGTGTATAGACAGTACACAGCAGCTATTCAGAGAGTACTCATTAACCTTTTTCACCACCAGTTCCCTATTTTCAACACAAATTTACAAAATAGTTCTGTTTATAGTCTGCACTTTTCTTCAGAAGATTAGGACAAAAATAGTCAAATTTGTTTAGTAAAAACAAAAAGTTGACTCAAAAAATGTCTGTTGGCTCCAAAATTATGGTTCATTTCCAGAAATATTGAAGAATATAAGAAAAAAGTGCAGAAAAATTTGGGCAAGAAAGTCTGGTGGCGAAAAGGCTAAAAGGTAAGAAATCCTGTTATTCTTGATTTTATTTCTATTTTCACTCAGTGATGAATGACAAATTCAGTACTATATCATGTTTGAGAAATTTTCATGATTGATTTGTTTTTTTGAAGAAAATCATTTTTTTTTTAAATAACTGTTTTTCACCACTGGCCACTAAACAGTATCTTCAGACTAATTTGTGGTAAAATTTGTAGTTTCTATACTGGAAATACCTACCCACAATTGATATATTTTGGATTTAAACAACAGGTTTTATGTTTCAATCCGCTCTAGCATGTGTAGTATGGTTTTTCAGAAAAAACATAACTTCCTGTTAGCTAGCTGTTTTGAGTCTATGTTTTATAACCAAATTGTTCTTGTTGTACATTTAAATTGCAGTTTCCAAATCAATCACAAAAACTGCCATCACAGTTACCTGTCTTTATTTAGATATATACACTATCCATGTTTAAGTTTCAATAAATACTAAAAAAATATTTGTCAACACATTTCATTCTAGAATGGATTTGCATGTTGACATTCTATGTGCTGATATTATTCTGTATTTTAAAAGAACAAATTTTTATTTCGCCAAGCTAAACAGCTGAATTTGACAATTTGATAAATAGAGTGGAGTAATATACAGAATGAAATGGAATAGAATAATGCTTATCTGAAACCATGGTAAATTTCAATCTTATATGCAAAGAATAAGACCACAGCCATAGTCAAGTATACCACAAGATATACACAATTTACTGTGTGCAGTGAATTGCTCAATATCAAGTGGATTTCCTGACTGTGGCAGTGGGTTTGTTGCTTTTATATTCTACCAATTTCATTTTAAATGTAATTCAGAGACATGGAAATTACTTTGAAGTCACAGCATTACTTTTTGGCAGACTTGCATACTTTCTTCAAAGCATATTGGAACGACAATGTTGTGTGTGAAATTCTTGTTAAATCTGCCAATACTGATGTGTATCCTATTAATTTGCACTCTTGAAAAAAACGAAAAAAAAACAATTCAAGATTCCCTCCGACCGTTGAAATTCAAAAGATTTTCAACGTATCAAATTCTATCTTGTATATATACTTCAACTCAACTGCGAAAATGTACCATGTTTATTGCAGGAAAAAAAAGATTCTTACTTTTTTCTACTTCTTCTGTGATTACTGTTGCGAGATGAGATTTTTCACAATCCCGTAAAGCTCCAAGCAAAGTGTCGTACCATTTCGGACCTCTTTTCATTATTCTGTCTAGGAACATGGAAGCAGCTTGGATAGAACCATGGTTTTTCTCTTCTGACAAAATATTCTCCTGCACAATGTACAAGTAATATGAAGTTTATTAAATGAACCATATACAAGAATTATTCATCTCAATTTGCCAGCATGTCAAAGAAACAGATGCAGAATATTTGGTGGAGATACATTGTAGTATTGCATTATAAGATATCATGTCTCACACTTAATTAATTTGGTTAAAATAAAATTCAAGTTTCGGTTGTTTTTTGGTCATTTTTTTTTAAATTACATATTTTTTCGTATATTGTATTTTTTATTTATTTGCTGAAAGTTTTGAGAATCGCTAATGCCCACATGTTAAAATAGCACAAAAGATGTATTAAATAATAAAACCAACAATAAATTACAAAATAATAAATAATATAGTTCCTTGGCATTGTGTACATAAGGATAAGTTTAATAGTGCACAAGTTTAGGTTTCATCAACTCAAGTTTTAGGATATGTTTGTGAATTCTCAGTAACTTGAATACAGTGCACATCATCTCATCAAAATATATGTAATATTGGTTGACCAATATATTAAACCTCAAATCATACCAGTAATATTAGGAAAACAATTCTTACTACCCTTGTTCGACTAAGAATCCAAAATGGGAACTATTTCCTCATATAAAATTTTCTGGGAAAATAATTTTTTATTCAGAATCCTGTTTTATAACGTGTTAATTTAGACATGGGACGAGTTCAGATCATGCCAATTTAGTTTTCTGTTCGTTGCAATATGTTATCATAGTACGATACTTTTATTTTGTCTTACTACTATGATGAGCTAAACATAATTTAAACTTGTCCCTTCCAGTGTTTCTTTTTCCTTGCCAACGAATTCAATATACGGAAATAGCATGTGTGTGTGCATTTGCGTGAGACTGTGTCAGAACGTGTTCTATTTATTTCCATTGTAATTTTGTATTTGTATTTTCGAAATGTATCACTGGCTGTGTTTTTTCTGTCATGTCCCACAACTGAAAGTCCAAGCTGACTTTGTTTTGGCTGTAAAAACAGCTCTGCTCTGCATCTTTAATAAAAGCAATAGAGGTATTGGTTTACAAGAAACATACAATGGCATACTTATAGTTCTGCCTGTTATCTTCGATGACAGTTGAGGTAAACAGAGAATTAAAGAAATCATAACAAAATCACCAAAAGTACCTATGTGTTATGTATAAAAGCATTGGAGTTTTCATGAAAAAAGTCATTTAAAAAAAAATTACACGGGACACAGACACAGGACTGCTCAAGTTGAATTTGTATGGAATTTGTACATACATACAAGTCATGTAGAGTTTATACCAAAGTGAGGAAAAGCTACCTGATGGTTGAAATAGCTCCACTGTTTCAGCAGAGCCTTGCAGTAATAAGGGCATGCATGGTTACATGAATATGACTTTAATAGTCTTTGTTCACATTCTATTTTATTATAAGTATCCTAACCCATATGTGTATCATATCACTGATATTACCAGTACTCAAGTAGTGAATTCATCAACTCTGAGCAAAGGATATTTCTGGTGAATAGTAGTGTGTTAATGACAGCGAAGATGAAAAACTAAATTAAGTTTTATTTACCTCATCCATAGTTGACAAAATTGATGTTATTGGAATTATCTGACTTGGAATTATTTCCTGCATTAGACTTGGTTTCAACTTCCTGATTACATTTCTCCGTATTTTATCTTTTTCATATTCATCCATATTCATCTGTGGGTGGCCCTCTCAATTGCGATAAGCAGGCCTTACACTTATTTAAAAATTCAATTTAAAGACAAACTGTCCAATGATAGAATAGACTGCACCTGTAAAAACACAATATGAAAGTTAGATCTCATTAATAAGTTACAAAAAAAACAAAACATCAATTGCAAATTTGTTGTTTTAACTATTGGTAGCTTTGAATACAAACATATGCGACTCGTAAAACGTTATCAGCCTGTTGCATGCATTGCATCATGGGAAAAGTATAAATTTGTCCAAAGCATCACACAATACACTTTGAAAATGCGATTAATGGCATGTCTCATTGGTGCAATACAGAACTCCATCTGCATTCTGCCTGATTGTTTTCTTCCTTGAATTTTCTTAATCTTTAGTACATGTACGTCCACTCCACCCATATTTTCTGGACACCCTGTGAACACCAAATGTATCAATCACAACTTCTTGAATGAAAGCCACTTGTACAGGATTCATTGGAGTGACAGACCGGTACTTCAGCAAGATTCTAACAATTTGTAATGAAGCTTACACTACCTGTGTTAAAATATACTAATAAAATACAACCCCCCAATATTGCGGCTGAGAACACTTTTACCAGGATGAAAAATTACTTCCTTGTCTTAAAAAGCACATGTAAAAAACATTTACACAGTTATAAGGGGGGAAACATTATGAAGAATCTAATTTTAAATCATTTTGAAAGTTAATCAGAAGTGACTCACTAGGTCCTACCACAGTCCCTGAGTAGTGAGTGAAAGTTGTCACCAGGTAATCCCCTTAAGATAAAAAAAACCCAACCAACCCAAGTCGTTGCAGCAGATCACAGTATCCACAATGCGAACAAATACTAGTACACCAAGTTGTGGCAACATAAACAAATATAAACAGAATCCATATAATATAAATACAATTTTCAAACAATGAACACTCCAGCATCAACAATATTTGACTGAATTTTCCCACATCATTTTTGTGAGTCACGCAATTCAACAAATTTACCCATACACTATAGCTACCAGTACCCCTGCAAAAATGTTCTTCTGATGGGGTCGAAATATACTAGTAGCTTGGAGCCGGGGGTCATGAAGCTAAAAAGGAGCAAAAGTCTGTATTTTGTTTTGTTTTACAAGTGTTAAACCTGATTTATTTTATCTGTATGGGCAGACATTTACTCTACCTTTGACCTAGCTACGATAAAGAAACGTGTATTATGTGTGTGTATTGAGTCCGAACCCATTGTTACTAGCTTACGTCACGCAATCATGATAAAAGTTATACATTTGTTTCCTCCGTAATTTCTTTTTTAATACAGGCAGCATGGTTTTATCTAGTTTGTGATATGTTTCCACAACAGGTTTCATTCTAGTATTTCTACGGTCTGTTCTGTAGCTGTAGAAATGGGCATGGAGATCGAGTATCTCAGATTGGTATGATGTGGGCAAGTCACTTCATAACGTACCGTAATGTAAAAAGTCAAATAAGGGGCTACATGGAACATTGCGCAGATAACAACAGATTTTCTGACTTCTGATTTTCTGAAGAACAAGTAAACAGCTCAAACCATCGTTGAACACACCCCTTTCAAGAAAGCATCGCTAAAGCTTTTGGGATATTAAACGACTTGATCATGATGGAAAGTCTAGCCGAGCAAATAACTTACCGCAATTGTTTATCCAAACAGCAAATCTGGCAGCTGTACGGCGATTGGCGATATACTCGGTTCTTGTTGACTCAAACTACAGCTATTAGATGTTATATAAGTGCATCACAAGTTGAAAATTCGCAAATATTTATTGTCGGGCAATATCCAAGCGTGTTACACATTCGCGGGGTCAATGCCCATTAACCAATGACGTCACCGGGGTTCCCCTCAGATTGTGATGACGCTACGGCGTACACAAATGATTGAAATATTTTAAAAACGTACTACTACATACAGGGTAAAATCTTTTTATAGTTTTCATAAGGGATGATACATTGCTGACAAGCGAAAGTTGCGAACTACGACAAATGGTTCAACTGAAGAACGCCATCCCATGAAGCAATTGCAAAAGCATCCAGAACATTAGGCACGTGGTGGCGCTGTTCAAATCTGTGCAATGTGAAAGTCAACTATTCTAACAACAAAACTATACGATCTTCTTCAAAACCCAAGAATTCGCTATTGTTTCCATTGTTACAGTTTGAAATTCAAGCGTAGAATAGCAGTGACAATATTTGTGTCTATATAGTTTATATTCATTTTATTATTTATAAGTTAACGCTACATGTCATTTTTTGTTCACTGTTTTTTTAGAAACACTGTATAAGGTGACTGTTTAATCAGAGTTTTCCATAAACTACAATGAAAATACATTTCATCATTAAAACCCAAAATAATATGCCAAATATGGAATACTTCTTGATATAATATATGCCACAGAGCATAGAGTCAGTTCAGAGAGGGAAGATTCTCAAAAAATACTACAGTACCAGTTGTAGAAAGAAATGCGTGAGTTTTACTACTACTACTAGTTACTGCGACGTTTTGTACAAAAGAACGTGAACCCAAAATATTATCCGTGTTTTGCCGCATACAAAGTAGTATTCCTTCGTGTGTTTTTTTTTTAAGTGAGCTACGCACTGAACTGCGATTGCCACGTGACCAAACCAAACTTTAAGTGCTACAAATATTCGCGATTTTTACTGACGCGCGAAATTACCGAAAAAAATTCTCTAGCGAAATTAAAACGATTTACAATGGTTAACGTTCAGTACGACTAAGACTAAATAATACATACAAGTTATCCATTGTTTGGTAAATGCTATTTGAACTATTTTATCAATGTATCGAATATGAAATAAGTAATTTGTATAATGTCTATACTCCATATCGCGGTTGGAAGATCAGAGGACGTGCGAAAAAATTATGAAACTTTTTTTTGAAACAAGTCGTCGTCTTTTGGGCATTCGTTTACACAGTTTGAAATATTTGTCTTAGTATTTTTTTTTATAGAAATCCGCGATAAACACTATTTCATGATGAAAATAGAGATGACCTTATGATGTAACCGAACGAAATTTTGAGATATTGTGACGTCTTTTAATCATATAAATCAATGGTAAAAGGCTCAAAAATTGCCCTTGTCATGAATGTTTGACATATTTTTTTTTTGTGTACGAATTGTAGTTCGGATGACTATACCTTTTTTAATCTCAACGTTGTAAGCAACGACCTACAATAACACCATAATATGAAAGTCGAAGACATCTGACAATAAGTTACATTATCGGCAAAGACTGGTTTGCCTTGCAAGTAATATGTGTACTGTAATACATACAACAGCTACGGTATTCGAAAGATATTCCTGTCAGACTTTTCTTGCCATTAACAAAGAATAACCGAGCAGTTCTACGGATTTGGTTCTTAGGCATTCTCCCACTCTCCATCCCAAAGTTCTTATCGCAGGCAGCAGGCTAACACCTCTGCCACACATGACTTTTCACGCTATGATTTGCCACATATCAATACGCAGGTGTTGTTCGGTTATTCAAGACGGCGGTCCATACCTAGTTGGCAAGTAAACTATTAAATCTTTCTCTTCCCATATACTTTCCATAACTTCCATCTGCTTTGGTTTCAGTTCCACGTCAGAATATTATTGACTCAGAATACGCTTTATTCAAATATAGTTCGGGTTTGACCCTACCAATAACCCTTGATTTGTACCCAGACTAGTAATACATACATATATTACTAGTCTTAGATTTGTATAAATGCATCTTCAAGCTGAGACAGAGGTGATTTGAAGAAGCGCCATCTTGCGTGGAGAGTGACATTCTTCATGCCTCGTCTGGTTTCTGCCGCTGGTGGCGTGGTTTGGGGTCCAAAATCAGTACTGTTTCAGCGCGTCCAGTCGGCGATGCTTGGAGAATGCATCTATATCAAACATAAAACAGATATTATTTTTTTAATCCATAATTTGGGCCATAGACACTGACGTACACGTATATTAACATGGTAGATGTATATATACATAATTAGGTAAACACAAAATATATACACATGTAATCACAAACATTAAAACGGTTAAATTAGTAACTCATTGCAACACCGCGAATTTGGTATATAATTTCAAAAGGTGGAATCGACAGAAAAAAGTTCCAGATTTTGCATGATATGTACTAGGAAGTCAAAGTGTGCGTCAAATCTCATAGCTCCTGTTGAATATTTTAGACATCCAATAGGAGTACGTCTAGGGTACGTCAAGTTTTAGTGTATCACGTATACTCTTTCACTCTAGTAACATTACCCAAACATATTCTATAGTCCCCAATAAAATAAAATTGTTCGTATCATTACTAGAGAATTCAAATATTATTATTATAGTTCGGTAGCATTTTTCTTTGTAGGTATTCGGGTAAAATAACTTCGTGACTCACAAACTGAAAGCTAACCGTTGCAGAGATACTATTACTTTAATTGCAAAGACCTATGGAAAGGACATGCATGACCTGAGAACACTCGCGAACGTTATAACTTCCATTTTTGACTTTAGACGAAGTTACTCAAAATTGCAATAGCTTTTAACTAAGGTTTGTCGACTTTACAACTTGTTCAATGCTCGTTATATTTTGAATTAGAAAATGTTTAATATTAAAGTACAGGTATAAGCCTACTCGCGGATTTTGTTTTTGGGGAAAAATGAATCAAAATTTATCAGTGTTTTATTGTGAACAATCTTTAATCTATATTTCTATGGTAACGTGAAATCGAACAGTGGTAATACCGTATTTTGAGAAAAATAGCTAAATAATTTGCTGTTCATAGTGCACTATTAAGAAAAATCGCATTTTCATCACTAATTTTTAAAGTAGTTCAGAATAACCTCATCAGTCACATGACACATGATATGTAATCCTGTGTCATCCACAAACATTTTGAGATACGGCATAAAATCCCCGCCACGGGAAACAATAGTAAAACCAAATGGTCACTAGACTTTAACCACGATGTTATTAAAAATAGGCCGGTGACCTCAAACGTTTTAAGTTTTGAGTCAACGACCTTTTACATGTAATGAGCGGGCGTACAATTTATTGTAAAATAGATAAATTATGTTTGTTTTTGAATTAATTAGTAGGTTTCTACATCTCGGCACGCATATTGGATCGTTAGGAGTCTGCATGACATTTGTGCAGTGGATACGTCCGCCCATCCCGATGATTTCAGACTCCTTCGGTGCTATCAGTATTAATAATTAGGTGACGGTATCCTGATTATGGAAGTAGGTTAAATTGTCATCCTGACAGAATGAACAAATGTCGTTGACGGGTGTGGCTTCGTGTATTTCGATCCATCTGTTATCGAATGCTGTGCTATAATTGTGTTCGTACTGCCGTGTACTAGTCACGAGCTTGTTTGATGTTTACCGAGGCTGTTCTGATAATGATCTCATACGGGTCAGTTCTGCTACGCCCGTTAGCGATAATTATCGCACCGGTTAGCGAGCCACTCTTATCACAGGACATGTTTCTTGGAAGCTTATTTTCCACGTTTTTGTTGATCAACGTTGACCAGAGGCCGGGGCCCAACATACTGACAATGGCATTCAGCCAAATGTAAATCACGGGCGACGCGGCGCGTACGAATGACGTATAATAACCAAACTCAAATATGGAGTGTCAGTTACAATCACTACGTAGATGATGCAGACTAATTGATATGTTCAAAAGTTTCATAAATTTCATGTTCATATTACTAAGTTAGGAAATATGTCAGTTTCGCTGCGTAAGAAGAATTTATCGATGAGAGTAGAATATCTAGCGATATATTTTCAACCACTAAAATAACGAATTTTATCTTTTGGATATAACTTTTGTATTTTGTATCTTGTAGCATTCTAATTCCATTATTATAAATATGTACACAAGTAGTATGTACACTGAAAATTTGAACTAATTCGCAACAGTATTTTTCAAGTTATGCATAAAAACATGTTCCTATTTTGTCGTAATAGATGTTGTGATGTCATATTTTGAACATAATCCCTTGCTGGAAAATCAAATGATTAAAAGTTGAATATGTATAGAACAAGACAAGATATATAAAAGATGTAAATTGCATTTCTCTGCATTTATGGAGATCATGTATGACATTACTTCCCGTTTAACGAATTCAAAAAGGTCACACGGTACTATCAATTTGAAATATTTTATTTTTACCTTCAGGAATGCAATCTATCAAACATGGATTGTGTTATGATGAGTACATTTCACAAATTAAATAACTGAGTACGTAATAGTTTCAGTGATTATATAGGCTGTGATGTAATCGGTTTTATATACTGTGAATCTGTGATGTGAAAAGTGTTAGTAATATTATAATTCTGTGATATGAACAGTGTTAGTAATATTATAATTATGTGATATGAACAGTGTTAGTAATACTATAAATCTGTGATATGAATAGTGTTAGTAATATTATAATTCTGTGATTTGAACAGTGTTAGTAATACTATAAATCTGTGATATGAACAGTGTTAGTAATACTATAAATCTGTGATATGAACAGTGTTAGTAATATTATAATTCTGT